AATAATCATTATTATCATTATGTATTTACTAGTTTTGTTTATCACTATCATTGCTGTTACCATTATTATCATTATTATCATTTTTAGTATTGATATCATCACTAGCAGTAGTAGCAGTAATAGTAGCAGTAGTAATGGTAAATTAATTGACAGTGGTATCAGTATCGTCATTATTACTACCAATACCGTCATCATCGTCGTCATTATCATTAAGAGCATCATCATTATCACCATCATCACTATCATCATTTTCGTCAGGCATATCAGCTTCATTTCTCTCCCCGCAAAATAATGACGTCACTCCTTTCATGGATTGAAAACGAATTTCACGGAATCAAGAAAATGATCAGACGCCTTTGATGATCGCTTTTTTTTCTTTTTTTTTTTTTTTTAGATCATTTTCGCTACGCTATCTGTGTCATATTACTCCAGATCAAGTATTTTTCTTTTAATTCCCTCGCATATTTGACCTTCAAATTGTTATATTGCTAATTTGAAAAATCACGAAAAAGGTATGTACAGATTACGAACAAAAGAAAAATGCAAATCTTTATATACTAATACTCAAAGAATACTCGATTTTTTTCATTTCCCTGTTTTATCTATTTATCTTTTATTTATCTATTTTTTCGTTTCCTTATCTGTGTTATATCACTCCAGATCAGTATTTTCCATTAATTCTCTAATCTCATATACTTGACCTTTATATCTTATATTGACACTGAGAAATCAGAAAAAAGGTATGTACAATTATGAACAAAAGAAAAATGCAATTCTGAAGATACTAGTACTTGATGGTAAGAATGATAATAGTGATAATTAGGATAAAAGATTATGATAGTAATGAGAGTGATAATGATGGCGATAATAATTATCATTGTTATCGTTATTATTATCAACCTTATTATAACGGTGAAACATAGAGATAAATGCGATAATGATAATAGTAAAATATTATCAATGATAATAACAAAAACAAGGACAACAGTAATAGCAATGTTAATGGTGGTAATAATGATGATAGTTATAATAATAGTAAAGATAATGATGATGATGAACAATGAAAAACATAATGATGGTTATAATAATGATAGTGATGAAATACGAATAATAATGAATAATATAATGATAATAATAATAACAATAATGACAACAGCAATAATAACAATAATGATGATGATGATCATCATCATCAGTATCGTTATCACCGTCATCATCATCATCATCATCTTTATAATGATAATAGTAATGATAATGATGACAATAATGATGTCAATGAAAATAATAACAACAATGATGAAAATAACAATGATGATAGTACTAATGAAAATAATGATGATAATAATAAGTGATATAATTATTAAATAAACAATCATAATATGATAATATAATAATAATATAAAATAATAATAATAATAATAATTAATAATAATAATAATAATATAATATAATAGTAATAAATGACAATAATGATAAAAAATAATAATGATGATGAAATTGATGATGATGATGATAATGATACTACTGCAACTACTACTACTACTACAATTACTACTACTACTAATAATGATAATGGTAAAAATGTCATCCTCCTCTCCTCAAAATAGTAATAATGATAATAATAATGATATTGGTGATGATAACATCAACAACAGCAGCAATGTCCTAAAGTAAACATACAACACTACAACTAAACCAAATAAAAAACAAACAAAAGCAAAAAAAAAATCTTAAAATTCTTAATCTACATTTCCCTCTTTCTCTTCAAGTTGGTGAAGATCGAAGAGCCACTCGACTTTCAGAAAGTGTTGTGGAGTTCCTTCTCGTGCAGGGGGTACGTCTTCCTCCTTGGTGACGTCACACCCCTCTTGACCTTTGCTGACCTTGGTGACTATGTGTGGGACTACGATGGAAGGTGTGTGTGTGTGGTGGGGGGGGGATAAGGGTGGAGGGGAGGGAGATAGACTGTGGTAACATGGAAGGGTCTGTGGTATTGCAGTAGGTATGGTGTATCATCTAGATGTGGTTGTGGCGCTATGATTGTAGTAATGGTGGTAGTATTTTTGTTCATAACAGTGATAGTAACGGTGAGGAGTACTTAGAGGGTGTGCTTTTCTTTCTCTCGTAATGGCTATTGCTAGCTACTTTCCTCACTTCAGAATCCCCTTAATGTTTTCCTTTCCTGGTGCCTTCCATGCGTGTAAGTTGTTTGTCAGATTAATGCAATATATCACTAACTATGAGAAATTTTCGTAACTTTTAACTACCTCAGGACACCAGCAGAAGTTGTAGTGTTAGATAAAATCAATAGTAATTATACTAGACTGTCGTAAATGGCCATTGTGGTTGGTCGATGAAGGTAAATTAATCACCCCCCCCCCCCATGAACGAAGAAGTAAGAAGGGCATCAGCTTATGCACATCATATGGAGGAAATGCTTTACAAAATCCAGGCCTTCTGCAGACAAATGAAATTCCTGATACGATTACCTGATATGACTGATCCAAGCTCCAGGACAACCACGGGGAATATTTGGAAGAGGATCATGAAAACAAAAGGAGGAAAAGAAACACAACGTGATTTGATTTCTAGCCTGAAAGCTATTTTTCTCTTCAAGTAGCTAGTAAACCAGACTGGACCTTCCATGATGAAAATGATAATGACAATGATAAATAGTGAATGAAGTTATGATAATGATGAAAATAATGACACCGGTTCTTTTCCTATCATCTTAACCCTTCCTAATTCTCTCGTTCCAATATCTCCTCCACCAGGTATCTGATAATTGGATCTTCAAAGTCGGAATTACAGGCTCTTTCGTCGACCAAGAAGGGCCGGAAAACAGAAGAATTAGCAGGCGTCGTGAAGGTAGGGTTTTCTCGCTACGCCAAGAAATGCAATAAATAAAGCAAAATGGAATAGGCTAATAACAGGTAAGGTAATCAGTTGATGAGAAGAAATATGTTGATTAAAAAGACGGGTACGCTTTGGCTTGTCATTGGTCTCATTCAGAAGGATCGCATCAGTGATAATACCAATGCTGCTATCTTCGTATAATAATAATAAAAAAAAAGATCAAATGAACTAATGGTCCTTTCTCCCTCCTTCCTCCCTTTTCTTTTTTTCTTTATCTCCCTCTCTCTCCATTCTCCCCTCCATTCCTCCTCTCCCTTCCATCCTTCTCGGTGTTCCATTTCTCTCCATGTCTTTCTTCTCTCGCTCCCACTTCTTCCCCCTTCTCTCCTTCCTATTCCTCCTTCCATCCTTCTCTTCTTCTCTCTCATTCCCCTTCCCCGTTCCTATTCCTCCTTCCATCCTTCTCTTCTTCTCTCTCATTCCCCTTCCCTGTTCCTATTCCTCCTTCCATCCTTCTTTTCCCTCTCTTTTCCTCCCCCACGAGAAAAGTACCCTAAGCGTGGGGTATGGGGTATCTACTGCAACCAGGTCGTCTGGGCACAGGGGGTAAAACGACTCACGACTTGGCAGGGGGGCAAGTTCACCACCACGACCCCTTTGTACCCTGA